CCCAAAAAAAACGCATAACTGAGCCTGTGGTCTTCAGGACTGGTGTTCGATGGAGTCTACTACTGACGAACCCCAATTGAAGTTCATTATTAGTGATGCGGCGAACCTGCAGTATGCAATCGGTCGAACCAGTAATAATGCGTGCACCACCACAACGAAGTGATTAAGTAACATGAACCAAAAAATGGAAAAGAACAGTTGTTTATTTGACATGCCGAACGTAACTCACCCGTTTGATACCAGGCAGTTCCATGAGAGGTAGCAGCTCGGAGGAGACACAATAGGCCAGACGGGCCGAGAACTCGGGGAGCAAGTGTGCAAAGGCCCACAGTTCGGGGTCATTGGTGAACTCGGCGGCAAGGGCGTGTGCCAGACCCACAGCAAGGCTAGCCGCTGATTGAATGAGGGACTGCAAACTGCCCCTCGTTAGGCGGTAGCGATCAGCAACACGCCAAATGGGTTCACATCGAGGTGGCCAGAGTTCGGAGAGGGCCATGGCTAGATAGAGGCGGTGAAGAGGTGTTTCATCTCGTTTCTGTGGTCAGAAAGGTATAATAAGGCGGTCATTCAGTCGATGCTAATCTTTCATAATAGGCATGCAGAAAAACAGCTTCGGGGAGGAAGTCACCCTCCTTTACCTATTAAAGCGGACATATCTACATCAATGAACGGCTATTAAATAGATACATTAGAAATACGAAAAACACAGGCTAAGATAGGCAAATAACGTTAACTTTAATGTCTATCGGTTTGCAAAAAACGACTGCATTACCCCGGCAAACTTAAATTTGAGAAAGTCACGAACATGCCTCGGTCCGAATAGATTGACCTTAACATTTTAAATGACAAGGCTGTGGGGACAGGTCTATAGTCGTTTAACGAACACTGGAAGGCCCAACCTACAGATGTTGTTATGTTTGCGGTCGTAGAGGAAGCTGGATCGATATAGCGATGCGCGCTATTATATCACGGTTATAGTACTAGCTATATTTCAAAAGGAATTGTTTATGAAATATCTTACTGTATCCAATTCATCACCTATGTCGACTGACACTTACACTCGCAGACACCTGAGAGTGTACTTCTTCCTCCGTGGCATCCTTGTACGCAAACTAATTACTGTACTAGGCACGATAGTGTATATATCTGCTCGTACCACTAACGTTAAAGAACGTTTGTCCATCTGTACAGTTGTTACATTTTTAGTATACTTCTGTTGCTTTTACACAAAGAAGGAGTTCAAAAATGCACACCTAACTTTTCCTCGAATAAACTGCACTGAAATGATCTTCGATGATAGAAGCATTGCTACTTAACACTGATATCGATTTCATAGATGATCGTAGACAGCGCTGATAGCTAATCCGTCATAAATGCTTGGTACCAACAGCAGGCATTGCCGCCAATGTAAAACACAAGCCGACCTCACTGTGGTCTGATATATTTTGAAGACAGGTTGCGTGTCTGAGCAAATAAGCCTTGTCAGCCATTATCGTTCAACTCCCTAGAACTGGAATGACTTAAAAGAAATTAACATTATGAAAGCATGCAGCATAAGGTGAAATGTAAACTATCTAAGCAGCGATGCTTGTGCAAAGGAGACCAGCATAGGTGGTCGGAGAGATAACATGCCGAAGGGTAGCGGGTGATAGTGCACGGAGTAAATAGGTTTGCGCCCCTCACCCACCGGGACGGCAGACCCACTTAAGCGGTCCGCTTTCTTTGAAAACAGAGAGTTCGAGATCCGAAGCCAGAGAGTCGTTATTACTCTGAACATTTGCAATTGACAAGAATAAACCACGGCACCGACTTTAGTAAATAAGAGGTTTAGGCTCCGAATGAACGGATTTTTGTTGTATATCCTGGCCCGAGAGAGAGATGAGAAACTCCATGTATTGACAACACTTGTTATCCCTTCTCGTGATGGGAAGTACAACTCCTATTGTGCAGATAAAAGAGCTATAGGCAACGGGGATCTGTTTGGGGATTCATTACCGCCCAACAAGCCCATATCCAACAAGAAAGACAGGGGTAATAACTCACCCTGCGCAGAGCGAGTCCAGCGGCCCTCCGAGCTATATAGGAGTCCGAGAAGCCGATGATACTGACGATGTTCGCCTCTTCGGGCGGGAGCCA